GATACCTTCACTTTGGTCTCCATCAAAGACCACCTCCCCTCCCTGCCCCACAACCACACGCATCCAGTTTATTCAAGATTGCTGCTGGCCAGGCGAAAAGAGAGGGAATGCTATTCCTCTCATCACTCCTCGATCAGAGAGGCTGTGAAGGGCACATATGTGCAGCACCTTGATCTACAGAGGGGTCATGGAAAAGGGAGAAACAGAATAATCACTACAGATCGATCTAGAAGCACAGATCATGAACCACCTGGGTTTTCACCACAACGGGACTCAGGATGGCATCAAAACCAAAAAAGATTTGGTTTAAATTGTAAAGCTCTCATGGTATCATCATGCTGGTGTGGTAGTTTTAGCAAAGCCTCACTAGACAAACTTAGATTTAAATATGCCTGTCATTTTAAATACTGCTACAGGAATCACAGCTGCTGTATTTTCCAGTATGAAGAGTGGAAGGGATTCAGGTGGGAACCAACTATTCATTACACAGACTTTTCTTCCTAGGAGAACTGCAATCTCTTTTGCCTGAACTTTAGCGTTTTAAAAAGAAGACAATTTACAAGCGTTAAATCTGTTCTCTCCTGCTGTTTTTGCCGCTTCCTGCAATATTTGGAAAATCCTGCTCTTTATTTAAAAGTTATCAGGCGTGGCTATTAATTCCCCAAACCACCTCGCCTTTCGGACCTGTTGCCTACATCAACAAGGGAATTTAAAGTGATCCAGACTGTACCTCTGTTCTACTGATGTGGTACAAAGTTGCTTCAAAACAACTGCAGTTCTGCAGCAGGTCCTTTCCCTTGCCCAGTTACTACCCCAAAGCAAGGGAGCTGAGGGAGAGATGCCCAGGGAAGCAGAACTGTGCTCCGCATCACTGCCCAGTGGTGAGAGGCCTCTTAATAATAATAATAATAATAATCCTGCTCCAAAAGCAGGAATCAGACCAGACCCTGCTAGCTTCAGATTCCAAGAAGCGCTTCAAAGGTCTCCTGCCCTGCCACCTCCACCGCAAACGAGCACCATCCAGGAAACATCTCCACGGGCCACCATGGACAGACCTCAACTTCTCCGCTTCCTCCCTGAGCTGCCCAGGTACAAGGCAGCTCTAAGCTGGCTCCAGCTTCAGCAGTTGCTAATATGCTGTGCATCATCACTGGGCACAGTGTGGTACTAAGTGAGCTCTGCAGCTCATGACTGGCATCGGAGCACATTCCACCAGCCTGGGGAAGGGACAGAGGGGAGCTCGTATTGCCGTCTGCAGACACGTCCTACGTTCGAATGGGGAGTGGGGACACTACACCTTCACGCAGGCAATTCAAAACAAGAGTGCTTGAAGCTTTCTTCATTCCTTTCTTTCCTTTCCTTTCTTTTTCTGTTATTGGTGACATTTAAAAATATGTAAGTCTGAAGCCAACCCAGGGATAAAGCCTTGTGAAGAAACGATAGCTCAGCTAGATTTGTCATTCATTTGAGAAATCTGCATACAATGACCACAGATCCTGACTGTGAAAGTGTCTAAGCAGGCAAACCCCTTGCCCATGAGGAGTTCTGTTGAAATGAAGAAGCACCAAGCACACCGTGGACTTCCCTTAAAGACAAAAGCTTGTAGAAATGGCACCAAAATATACACTCCCATATGTGTACAGATACGTATACATATACGTACGTATGTGTATATACACATGCATACATACATACTCACACTCTAGAGGTACCTTAACCTGGAGTCATCCAAACTAGTATATTTGAGCTTTTCCATTTCAAATGTGTGACAAGAGTGTGACGATGGAAACGTAAGAAAGTTTCAAAAGCCCACAAACATCTTCAGTGAAAAGGCTTTTCACATCACCTTTGTACTCAATGTACAGTATTAAAAAAAAATCATTTTAATAGCTGACTCCTTATAAATGATTAATGTATTGTGCTGCATGTAAGTGCTCTCCTGTTTCTACGAACATCTAGTTGGGTAATATTCTCATTTGTGATTCATATGCATGTTCTTTTATAATTACAGTGAAATAACAGTTTCTGGGGAAGTGGTTTTTAAAAGTATGTTGGTGCTACAGAAGATCAAAGTATAATAAAACTTACATGGAAGCAAAAATCGTGCATGAATAACGGCACCAACTTTAACAATGGACTGAATAAACACGTGTAATTCTAAACAGGATGGACTGAATTTTTCATCCTAGCAATTAATCGCGGAAGGCTACATTCAAATGAACAGGCTGAGCAGATAAGCTCGCACTTATCACCACAACCATTTGCTTCAAAAATATGTACGTATATGTGCCTGGGTTCCCATCAGCAGAGAGACTCTCACTACAAGATGTCAACACAGATCTTTACACATAGTGTTTGGGATTCTATAAACAGAGTAAATGCACACGTAAAAGCAGCCTCAGCAAATAGTAATGACTAAAGCAGCCAGTCTTTATTTCAGTGAGCAGCGAGGTGGCCAGAGCAGCTGTAATGACCTCAAGTTCATATCCTGGCATTATCAAGAAGCAGAAAACAACTGCAAAATGTGCCAGATACAGCACATCAGCATCTAGTCACCTGTTGTTTCGCTTTAGTGAGGGAAGACATTGAGGCAGTGGCTGGGAATGACATTTTGCTTGCCTGTCTGAAATAAAAGGAAACACTTTTTGTAAGCATGCGGTAAGCAGAGTGCTGAACAACTCTAACAGCAGCTCACCCGCAGGTTCAAGCAAAATCCCTTGCAGCGACTGCAGCACTACTTCCTGTGCAACCCTGGTTGAATCTCACCTGACAGTGCTAAAAACCGCAAAATAAATGTGTTTCCAGCTTAGCCACCTTCATTCGGAACCAAATTGTTCAGCTGCAGGGCTCTGGCATTTATCTTGGTAAAAGTAAATTGCAAGTGCAGTGATGAGCAGGTGAGCAGTAGTCTTTGTGGAATTGGTCATCCAGACTGATCACAGAACACACAGGTTAGCTTATTGCTTCCCAAATATCAAATAAAAATAAAAACTGAAGAGGACAGCCTAAGTCTGACTTAAACAATTGAGGCAATGAGCACAGAACAAAACATGTCAGAAGTAAAGGGTTTTTTTCCAGAAAATTATACAGCTAGAAAAAAACTATAGATTTGTTCAGAATAAAAGAAATGCAGCAAATAACATATTTTACCTATACAAAGTTTATTTTTGAGTAATTGTATCAAAATGCAATGCTTGGAGGGCAATATTCAAATATCACAATGCTCCTTTAATTCAGAGCTATATGGATCTTATTTTGCCAAAATAAACTAGGGAACAGAGAAATCTTTGCAGCTTAAATTGCTCTGAGATTTCTGTACAGCCTCTTTGCAGAAATACTAACCTGCAATGTAATGTGAGAAAAGAAAAATAGCAACTGAGGAGATTCAGACTGAATGTCTGTCTTTATTCCCAGGTGAACAGAAAGCTCCATGACTTGTGTCCAAATATTTCAAAAGCGTCAGTGCAAGGGAGTGACAGGTATTAAAGACACCCCCTACCTTCCCCAATTACATGAACTATCAGATTGAAGAAAGAAAACATTTTTTTCCCCCCTGCTATGATACTTATTTTTGTTCCCCTCAACAGCAATCTAGTCTCCTATGGGATGTAATGGCACTTTAAAATCTGAAGTGTGAAGGTCATGAACTGAATTAACTCAAAGGCTAAAAAAGAATTTAAAAAATCTAGTACCAATATTAATACAGCAGTTTAAAAGGACATAATCATTATGAAGTCTGTGTAATTGTTTATGTATATGAAGGGCTTCAGGCGGATGGAAAATGTGAAAGATTTTCTCTGATGCTGATTGTAGTAAAATTTGAAGTGCCTTGGTTGTCCTGCAAAGCCCTGCCTGCAGGACCAGCGCCCACACTAGGAAATGCTATTCTGTCACTGGGAGAGATATGCAGGCGAGACTCTCCAGCTATGTCTCAGCTGTGGATGCCAGGAGGCCTGCCAGGTCCCTATGTGTGTGCCGAGCCGCCACCCGATGGCGTGCCAGCGGCAGAGCCAGGTGGGGCCATCCCCACACCCTGCCCGTGGGCTCCACTGGGGGAAAATCCAGAAACACCAGCAAAAGGAGAAGCACGGTGCATTCAACAGGCTCCCCGGTCTGGACAGTGGAGGGACCAGGATTGTTAGCAGCCCTGCAAAAAGTACCTGCCGTGCTGCTTGCACCCAGGCTGGGAGGTGTGGGGCCTGTTCTCACCACTGCTGTGGGATTGCAGGTAAAGGGCGGCATGTTCCTATATTTCTGCCTGCCCTCTCAGATGTCTGCTCTCACCCATCCCGAGTGCGGTCAGCAGGATCACCTCTCACCATGTCTGCACACTATGTGACTCCAGTGTTGCCCGGGCTTTCATGCTCTACTGTTATACAGTAAAAACAGTGAAGGTTTTCTGCTGAGACAACAGTCAGTACAAAGCACTACTAGAAAACCCCCAAGCAAAAGCCACCCCCAACAACAAAAGAGAATTCAGGATGCACAAAACAAGTCTATACTGTTAACAGCGTTGTGTGAATAACTTAATAGCCCTTTTCTACCTCTACCCTCTGTGCGGTAATACCAAAACGTTTTAAGAAGCACTCCAAATGCCTGAGCCTGACCCTAAGAGGCTAAAAATCTTAATAGAAATTGCACATGGAATTCCTTTTCTTTCATAAGCTTCAGAAACACATTCTTTGAAATCCCCAGTGCTCTTCCGTCAAACAATGTGGAGGTGAATAAATGTAGCAAAGAGCAAAGGTATTATGGGGCAGATTCTTCTCTGCCTTTCACTGCATTGTACAGCCGCTCACATCTGTACCACAAGTTCAAAGTTTGAATAGAAACTCTGTCACTGTCTGACAAAGACTTTGCACACTGTATCAAAAAGCACCCATTCACATCTTCAACAGTACTTTTTTCTCTCCGAGAAAGTTTTCAAACATAAATCATATTTCTCAAAGCCACTGCCAGTACCCAAGCGCTCCCCACGAAGACAGTTAATCACACCCTACCCGTAGAAATGATGCTCCTTCGATCGCTTGCTCTGTTCCCTGCTTCTTCTGCCTCAGAGTGCTCAGATCAGATCCTGCCCCAGAAAAAAAGCAGAGTCAAAGGCTTGGGATACTCAGAGCCGAGTCCTGGAGTCAGGCTGCAGGAGGATCAAGGAGTACTGGGCTGAAGCAGCATGGAAAGGAGACATCTCAAAGTGTGCTATCGCTCAACCATCACGCACAGATAATTGAGAGCATCTCAATTTGAAACCACTGGTCACCATCTGGTGATAAAATAAGGAGACACCAAGTGAGTTAAAGCAAGCTTGCGCATACTGGGATATTTTACTTACACTACATAATGAAACCCATTGTCACCTCCATTCATATTGTCGTGTCTTTCCCAGTTTAGCAGTTTAATACAATTTGTGTTAGCTTTGTCTTTCCTTCGCTTTAATTAAAAGCTGATTTCATCTTTTCAACAGACTGCATCGCACACACGTGTGCACATAACCTTCCAATTCAAGACACTTCTAACACGAAAGGAAGTAAAGTGCAAAAGAGAGCAGCTGAGACCTACAAAGTTGTGCCACTCCTAAAAACAGGCACAGAAGACAGCCATTGGGATGAATATGTTAAACAAGGCAGAATTAAAGGGTTAAAAAAAGACAGGACTCTGGCTCTCTCCCTACTTCACAACTCTTACGTGCGTACTTATGAATCCTGGGACAGCAGCAAAATTAGGCCTAGCTGACCTTTAAAAGAATGAATAATTTCCTAACACAGTGAGGTGTTTTAAATATATGTAACAGCTTTAAACACCCGAAGTACTCCTAATTATTTTTGCTACATACAAAATATTTGAGGAAAATGTATACGATATCTTTAATTTGTTAATTACCAGCTGGCTCCTACCACACATTATTAAGCTACTATGGCAGTGACTAATGCCTCTGACAATACTAAATTACCAACAACACCTTGTGGATGAATGTGACCTGAGCAGCCTAGAAAGGACTAGCTGCAGGTGTTTATTTTCAGATAAAGACGGCTTATTAACCCAGGCATAAGACAACAGACATTAAATACCACATGCACAAGTCCTGAGGAGGAAGGCTGCACCTCAAGACCCGCGTGCTGCCTACCCCATGGGCACCGCCATGCCCCGTGGCCGGAGTAACCCGGACACCTGCATCCCGTGCTGTTTGCTTGCAGGATGTGGAGAAGCAAAAGCACCTGGGATTTCTCTCCGGCGGTATTTTAGGCGCTGTGGGCTCTGCAGCTGTGGCCCCCTGCTCGGTGACTTCAGTAGGGGTGCTGGATGTGCAGAGGCAGTGCCATACCATGCACCGATGTTCAGAACTCCCCCACTTTCAGCCCGGCGGTCCCGAAGGCTGCGCACCCACACTCATGCGGTTTGAGAGGCTTGGTGTCAGTGAGAGTTTGTGCACTCCAACAGGACCAGGCCCTACGTCATCCCTTCATGCATTTCAGTAATTCTCTGACGTGAAGCACGCAAGGGAACTCCTGCTGAAGCGAAAGCAGGCTGCAGCCATTCCCTTCAGTGTGTGAAGAGCAGGGCTGCTCAGCTGGAAGGGGCACCCGGCAGGGGGTCTGGGGGTCTCAAGGATGGCAGGGACTTTGCATCAGGGAAGACGAAGATGAAAGAAACGTGATTGCCCATAAAAGGTTCCTCTGCACAGCTGCAGCCCAGGCACAGCCCTTTTCCTCTCACCTCTGAATACAAGTCTTTTTTTTCCCTTTTTTTTTTCAGTCAAAGCACTTTCTACCAAATTGAGTAGATTAATAACATTATAGCTTGGACAGGAACTTACATGTCTTAGTACTAAGTGTGTGAAATAACATTACTCTCCTTTCCAAATCCTCCTGAAGTGGTTAGGAAAGCCAGTCTTCTCCTGCACAGCTGCATTGTAAAATTGCTGAACAAACCTATTCTGCTGTAACGGGAAAGGACACATTTTCTTCCCTACTGTAAGTAGGTCAATGAAAACACCATGTTGTGAGGATGAAACTGTTTTCCTCCATCCTCTTCCCCCTAATGGCAGTTTCAAATCATTCCGATTTAATTATGTTTCTAGTGTTAGCTATAATAACATTGTAAGGTTATTAACAACTGATATATTGGCGGTCCTAAAGTCTGGGGTTTGTGCTTCCTCGCGGGCTTATTCTAGCCTCAGGTATACGCATGCAATTCCTACACAGGGCACGTCATTGCACAGTTGAGCAAAGCCTGCAAAGAAATCTGGATGTGAAACGCAACAATACATTATGAGGCACAAAATTTCAACTCTCAGCTCTGAGATTCACATTGAGCTTTTTACATCAATGTGATCTCTTTCTGAGGATAAAATTCTGACTATCATCTACTCTAAATCTAAAGTAGCTACGCTGTGAACAGTGAACTTGCTCTGAATTAATACTGGCATAAACAAAGCCAGAGTATTTTCAGTGGAACTATTCCAATTCATAGCACCTGGAGACTTCTCTGCATGCATTTCATCAGGAGGGATTAACCAGTAGCTGGAGAAACATTTAACTTGCAGTTATAGCTATCTGAATACTAAATGCAAATTAAAGGCCATTGGCAATAAAAAATACATTTTGGGGGAGAAAAGCCCCCCCCCCCCCCCCCCCCCCCCCCCCCCCCCCCCCCCCCCCCCCCCCCCCAGAAAAAGGAAAAAAATTAAATTACACTAGGGAGAATATAGAATGCCTGAAGTCTTATCAAATGAAATTTTAAAAACCAGAATAGGTGTTGCTTTTTTACTGACTGCCTCTCTCTATTTCAGAACAGATGGTGTAAATTAGTTTTGTTGACATTATCTGAAAAAAGGAAAAAGTAATGAATTCACCTCACATAATGCCTGTTGTAAACTCTCACTCACCCACACAAGCACTCCAAAGGCCCCATTCTGCAAGCAAATGTTTGCCATAGCAAAGGTTACACGCTCTTACAACCCACTCCTTACATCCTCATCCTGAAAACAGGCCTGCCTACAACAGTAAAGCTAAGCACACACAAGTGGACACCGCTCTGTCTTCAGTGTGAAATTTTTACCCTATAAAAACCCGTGACTTCAAAGGGGACTCGGATTTCACCCTAAGAATCTAATTACGTGTTTCAAATTTAGGATGGACTGTCAAGTGCCAGCTGACAGACTGATGTCCCCAAGTATTTCAGGACAACGATATCTGAGCTGAAACGCAAAGCCAGCTGTTTATGCCTTAACCACTTAGCTAAGGAACATTTCAAAATGAGGAAATTATATGATGATTAAGTGCCTCTGCACCTCAGCAAAACGCATACCACTCGGCAGAGAGATCTTTCCAACCAGAATTTAGAAAGCATGTCTTTCATTAAGAAAATAATTCCATGTGCAGTATTATCTCCTGTATCACCGAATCATAAGGATGGTAGAAAAGAGATGTAACCCACCTCCTACTGTGAGATAAAGTCAGATACACTTCACTCGTGTTTATTAAAGCCATTCCTAAAACCTCCAGTGATGGAAAGTCCACAAGATCCACTGGCAGTTTATTTCAGGGATAACATTTTCCTAGGTTTACCTCATCTTTCTTGCTTCACTTTAGACCCATTTCTCTTTGCTACGGCACACAAAAGGGATTACTGGCCTCCTCTTCGCAACAGCCTGTTCTGCACTTTCTGTGCTTGAAAAACTGCCTGTCTCCCACCCGCTCCCCAGCAGGCTGCTCTTCTTTAGGCACAGCAAATACCTTTAGGTTTTTCCCCTGGGGCATGTCCTCTGGATCTCCAGTCATTTTTACTGCCCTCCTCTCCACTTTTAAAGTGGCTGGCATTTTCTTGAAGAGCAGTGCTCCAAACCGAACACAGGACTCCAGCTGAGCGCTCACCAGCATGGAGATTATTCCCTGTGGGCTGTACTCCCACATGCATCCCAATATCATGATTTTCTTTTTTTTCCTTTCTATCGTGCAACTGCTCAACATTGCCAATTCATGTTCAACTGGAGATCCACAGTAACCCTTATCCTTTCCTGAAGAGCTGCTGTCTCACCAGTTGTTCCCCAGCCTGTACTGGTGTCAAGAGCTACCAGCATGCAGCTCACTGAATCCTCTGGAGCTACACAACACCACTGCTCGCCTCTGTGCGCCTGGTGAGCCAAGCGTGCCCTTGCGATGCTGCCTCATGAAAGGCATCGAGTTGTGTGTAGTTTTTAATTAGCACACAGTGAAAAATACTGGAAATCCAGCCAGGACTGGGCCAATATTTGCATAACCTTCCCCTCTTGTTATTTGCCTGCTCTATCTGCCAGGGGCAGGGTGGAAAAACAATTAGGACTATTTCTTCCAAGGCTGAGATATCCAATTTTATTTCCTTGCTCTATATTGAGTCTGTCAGTATATGTAAGTCATGCCTAATACGAGCCCAAGCAGTCATCTACGATGCTGTACAGCAGAAAAAGGATAGGACTAATGACCTGTGAAATAGGTATAGCCAGACCTGGCTGGTCTGAGGTTGCTTTCTGGCAAAGCTTGGTTTCTCTTGGACATAACACAGTGGATGACTTATTTAGTACTCTGCATGCACAGTTACAAAATCTGAGGCTTTGTGCACAAGGATTTATTTCCACTTTCAGGAAAACTGCGTGGCCTGAAAAATTATCAGTCTATCTACTTACTTTATGCCTTTTTCATAGAGAATACACAGTTTCAATGTGGGTGGATATTAAACAGTGTAGCAGCGAAGATTGGGCCCATTTAGTCCAAGTTACCACTGAGTTATGAGTAACTGCGCGTGACTCTCAGCAGACACCTATTCACCTTTCAGTGAAAATGCACCGTCCTGCGAAGAGTTCCCCTAAGCCTGGAAAGCATTTTTAAAAAAAGGGCTTTAAGCTCTAGCACTTTTAATTCTATTTAGGAATACATCACCAGATTTAATGTAGATGAAGAACTTATGTTTGCTTGGATTCTTTTCAACCATCAGACACCTAACATTTATTTAGCTGTACGATTTCTGAAATTGTATTTACTATCTCCTAGACTCACATAATTGCTTCTTGCCATCATCATTTCAGCAAGTTTCCTCTGC